TTACAGCCAGGGGAATATACTCATCAATTAGTCACAAGACCATGCTTTTCATGAATTTCTGAAGAAGAATCATCAGAAAGAGTTGATCTTACTCTCTTCCTCTTCTTTGAGGGCCATGGTACTCGTTGTTAAGAAAAGTATAGGCCCTCTATGTAGAGCTCTTACCAGCCATTAGACTAGGATGGAGACTGGCAGCATCCCCATATCTTAACTATGATAGGAACAATATCCTTAGGCCCTGCCCCATGTACAGTAAGGTAGGTTTTCTCCTTAAGAGGTATCAAAAGCATCCTTGGTACTTAATTGGCTCGGGGACTAAAGGCTAGGGTCCACGATATAACTTACTGCTGCCTAAGTACAAAAGTCAGAGCGTGAGTGGCTCCTCCCTCAAGCTTCTGACTGTCAGATAGCAGCAGCACCAATACCAGCATAAGGAAGTTTCTATCAGCTGAATCAATGCTATAGTTTTAATGAATATCATTCCCCTTCTTTGGTTAATTAAACTTCCTTTTGTTAATTATCAGCTGTTCTATGAGCACATTATTTCATTCAACTTCAAGCCTCAAGTACCAGACCAACCTGTACCAGGCCTGGCCTGCTACATGGAGTAAAGGGGTAAGGGGGGTGGAACATTTGGGCAGAGGTTTGAGAGATGGAATAGAATTATTTGCTTGGGAACAAAAGATTAGAACCAACTACATTGTCACAGTGATCTTTATGGAGGAATTATCCAGAGAAAATATATCCAGTTATTATATATCCTCAAGGTCCCAGATTCTGACTTCAAAAACACAACAAAAGATGGGCTCATTTTATAGTCTCTAACAATATTTACCAAAGTCTAGCTGTGGAATACCAGATCTGTGACCATATGACTTAGAAGATAAGTAAGACTGATCTTTTTTCTAGGAAAATTCCTTCACTATTTTAACTGGCAAGCATCAGAATCCCTAGCAGGAATGTAACCCAAATCTGATGAGTGAAAAAAGGTATACAACAGACTCAGAGAAGTGGTGAAGAAATGGTAGTATACCATGATGTGGATAATAGCCACTTAACTTTCTTTACAACTAAAACAAAGTATAGTAGGTTGGAAAATTTTAAATTGGTTGTTAACATTCTGAATGCTATCCAACCACAGCTGGATATGAAAGATATTAAAGGATTTAACCTCCTATTAGATGAGAAGTTGAAAAATCTCAGTAATAGTTTCTAACATTTGATGGACTTCTACATGATGGACCCTGATACTTTACTATATAGTACAGAGTATTTTTGTTTTCTTTTCTGAAGTATGTTCTTCCATGGGACTAACAGGAATGCTACTTCTAGTATATCTCCCTTGGTTTAAAAAAAAAAAAGGTATTTTGGAAAATGAATACTTCAACTTGTGAGATATTGATGGATTCTATTGTTTCAGAGTATAGCACTTATCAACAAATTGAAACTGGCATCAACCTAATAAGCCCAATAGATGAAATATTGTCTCTTTAGATAAAGAGCAAAGCCAAAGAACTACAAGTCTAGAAGTGGATGTATGGTACAAACAGCCAAATTGCTGTAAATGCCTCTCCAAATATATTTAATGAACAACCACATTCTAAATTAAAGTTTATATACAAATTAAAACATAGAAAATTTAAAATCTACATATTGATGCTCCTGACATTCAAAATACCTGACAAACTAGGCATGGTTTCTATTGGCAATAAATTTTGCCAGAACAAAACCACAATGTTATTAAATGCATTACTTAGAGCAGCGGTGTCAAACATAAGGTCCATAGGCTTCATGACATGTAGCCCACAACACTCTGTGAACCAGATTAAAATGTATTTGGGAAATATTTATAAAATAAAATACAATAAAACACAGATAATGAACATGTGGTTTTCTAAGTCAATATGAACCACAGGGCCCACAAGGATCTATATTTTCAGTTTATTGCTCTTATTTCTTATTTGAATTTAACATCACTGGCTTAGAACAGTTCCAAAAGACCATGGAATCTCCCATGTGAAAAGTCAAAATAATGTTTTGGTTAAATTTTTTTTTAATTATAAATGTTTAAAAAAATAAAGGAGTAGGAAATATAGACTCTGTCACAATTTTGGGTCCCTAAACAACATTACCAGTTGAGACCAAGTAGTGTCTGCCCCTATTTCCTAACCTCTTCTACAAGGTAAGTGTAAATATTCACTGAAATAGAATTCAGGCAGGTCATGGGATCATAGAACTTTAAGAGAGCTCAGTGGCCACGTAGTTCATCTCCCTCATTTGCAGATGAGGAAGCGGAGGTTCAAAGAAGTTAAATTTGCCCAATATCTGAATCAGAGGTGGGATTTGGGCCTAGAAGTCTTCTATCTGCGTAAGCTAGTGTTCTTTCCACTATACCACACTCTCTCCTTGTTATATAATCTGATCTGGAAATGGGAAAGTGAGAATAACTTATATTGATGTAATTTTATATACAAGTGTCATTTTCATATTTATTTTAAAGATGAAGGGGCAGCTACATGGTGCAGTGAATAGAGGACCGCCCTGAAGTCAGGAGGACCTCAGTTCAAATCCAGCCTCAGACCAAACACCTGACATTTACTAGCTGTGTGACCCTGGGCAAGTCACTTAACCCCAACTGCCTAAAAAAAAAATAAAATAAAGATGAAGAAACTGATACTCAAAGAAGCAAACGGATTGATTGGCCCATGGTTAAAAAGCTAGTAAATAGCAGGGGCACAATTCAAATTCAGATCTCCTGACTCCAAGTCAGAAAATATTCCAGTTATACCATGCTGCCTTTCAATGGAAAGTAGAAAACAGCTTTACAGACCTGGTATGGCCTATGTGGTAAGAAGGAGGAGGAAGAGGAGAAAGGTGATAACTAGCATTTAGAGAGCACTTTAATATTTACAAAGAACTTTACAAATATTAGTGTCTCAGGTTTGACTTGAACTCAGGTCTTCCTGACTCCACATCAGAACTGCAGGTCAAGCACTTTATCCACTAGTATCATGTTATGCTGTTTGCTTTGTGCAATGCACATGTGGTCTATCAGGTTCATGAATTCTATATCCTCAGAACTGCTGGGCCAAGGGCTGATGATTTGTTTCATTAATATTCTTTTCTATTCCCAAAAGACCGCTGAAAGATTTGTTCAAATTGTGCCAAATTGATGTGGCCAGTTTGCCAGTCTCTTTACTATCAATAACTATTTGCAAAGCCAGAGAAGTACCAGTTCAAGAGAAAGGAGATGAAATGCCTGAGGCACATAGTAGGCCAGCAGGGATTATTAATGGATCTGCTTAAAGTGAAGACAACATTTGAGAAATGAAGGTATCAGGAATAGCACTAGTCAGCTATACAATTAATCAGCCCTGAAGCCCCAGCCTAACAAATGGGCAATGGCAATTTGGGTGGGTGAAGTCTAGCAGACAAGATTGTTTCCCCAACCGGCAGTGCTGTACTGAGAGTCATGGGCATAGGAGGAGAGACACAGCTTTGAGAAGGAAGAGAAAGTGGAGAAGGAAGGCCTGGAGGTGAGTAATAGAGCAACCAGAAGTTGCAGGGTGAGTACTACATAGGGACAAAGAAGTTGCTATCCCAAAGTGTTGGCTTTTCTTTTACCAATGGTGAAAATAGATTATTATTAAAATAACTGACAAAGCTGTTCCATTTTCCATCAATTTGTTTACCTCCTTCAGCTTCAATTTTACATGCTCTTGAGATGTGGCTTAGTTGGGATTCAAACCAAGCTTTCTATAGACTCTGTATGTGTTTGTACTTTTTTTTTTTACCTCTATTGGATTTCACTGTTTTATGAGATAACACTGCTTAAGATATTCCACTTTACTTCTCTATAGTGTTCCTAATCAGTGTGTATGGTATATTAAAGAGAGTGTTGGAATTGAAGTCAAATGACGTTGGTTCAAATCTCAGTTCTTCTACTTACCAGCTGTTTGACTTTAAGTTCACATGAGGTCTCAGTTTCTTCATCTAAAAAATGAAGACTGTTCTTCTTAGACTACCTGACCTTTCTTATCTCCAGTTTCATCAGCTGTAAAATCAGGAGTTTAGGCTAAATTCCTTCTAAGGTCCCATTCAGCTCTCAGTCTATGATTTTCTATGATTTTTTTTTAATCATACAATCCCTTGGCAGCTAGGTGGTACAGTGGTTAGAGCTCTAATCCTGAATTCAGGAGGATCTGATTTCAAATTGAGCCTCAGAACTTGCTGTGTGACTGTAGCAAGGCATTTAACCTCTTTCTGCCTCAGTGTCCTCAACTGTTGTTTGTGAGGATCAAATAGAATATTTGTAAAGCATATAGCATAATGTCTGACTCATAGTAGGCACTTAATAAATGCTTATTTGCCTTCCCTGTCTGACATTTCACTTCACTTGACCAGAAGATCAAATGTTTGCTGCTGAGAGCATTTCTTGGATTACTTTGCATCAGTAAAAGTTTTGCAGGAAATGGTAATTGCTTTCCATTTTCCATTTGTTTAAATAGATCAGGTTCAATTTACTTCAACACTTATTAAGCAACTATTAAGTCTATTATGTGCAATGAATGCACTGTGTTCAGTGCTAGAGATACAGAGACAAAACTATACATAGTCCCTGCCCTCAAGGAATTCACATTACAATGGGAGGAGTTTTTGGTTGTGTTGCTTTTTTTGCATCAGTGTCTTTTTCTCAGCATTCTCCTTTCTTAAAATTCAATGTTGATTTTGATCTTTGCTATGATTAGTGGGCTATTTACATAGACATAGGATTCTCATATGACTCCCACATCAGTAACCAATTCTTTACTGGCTTCTAATTTCAGTGTGTGTGTATGTGTGTGTGATAAATAATTCAGAGTTCATCATATAAGTACCTTCTAACTCTCTTCTTGAAGAAAGTATTTGCAATAAATAAACATGACATCTGAATAAGTTACAAGCCATTGGCTTCTCTCATTTCTTAAATTTAATCAGATTTTTCAGTCTCCTCCCCTGGACCCACTTTCACATTGAAGTCACCAAGTATTGTGTATATATGTATGTATGTATATATGGTCACTTGCCTTAGAGGACCTTGTAAACTTCTTCACAGTTTTCTTTACCTCTTTGTTCTCTAAAGTAGATACTGATTCATTGTGCTCTTTTGGCTCCTGCTTGTCATCAGCACTACAAGAGGAGAAGAACAGTATCTCATGAAATGATATTTTTACTACCCTTGGACAAATCAACTCCACCAATTTCTTGGTTTACTTCTATGAGAAAAATCTAAGAACCACCTGTGTGTTTGCATATGACTTTTTTTTTGTTGCCAAGTTTTACTGTCATGAGAATTTCAGCATTGATGTGGTTCACTTTTTTCTAAGAATATATCAAATCACTGATCTTTGAACAAAGAGCTCATATTTAAAGTAGAAAATCTGAGTTACAGTTTATAGAATATTCAGAATGGTGACTCTTAGTACTATCTGTCCCCATTTCCACTACTTCATCACTGTTACTGGGGAAGCAAAAGGCCTAGCCAAGACGGAGGACAACTTTTTAAATTTCCTTTCGTTTCATTAGGTTCCCATCATCTGACACCTAACCTACTGGTAATGAGCTTCCCCATCCTTAGGAGGATTGGTCTTCAGAGAGAAGTCAAATTTTGTCTTCTCAATGTTATCCTTCCAGCATGGAAGAACCAGACAAAGCTTATGTGTCATTGACATAACCTTTAAGAAACAAGAATCACCTCCATGGACAACTGGAGTAAGACTTTGGGATGACATATTTTTTACATTTAAAAATATTCAAATGATTTTGTGTTACCAGTAGGGGGTGATTCTTCTAACAATATAGATTGCCATTCATTCCTCTTTGTTCAGTTGTTCAGTCATTTCAAACTCTTCAGGACCCAATTTGGAGATTTCTTGGCAAAGATACTGGAGTGGTTTGCCATTTCCTTCTCCAGCACATTTTACAGATGAAGAAACTGAGGCAAACAGGGTTAAGTGACTTGCCCAGGATAGCAGAGCTAGTAAGTATCTGAGGCCAGATTTGAACTCACCAAGAAGAATATTCTACACTCCAGGTCAGGCACTCTGTCCACTGCGCCACCTAGCTGCCCTCTTAGTGTTTTTAGTGAGTACTTTCTAAATCTCCTGCACCAGGCCAAGAAAGAAAAGTTTCTTTTATGGTGTGGAAAACAGCTTATCAAATATTAAAGATTCAAACAGCTGTTGGCCTTCCCAGAATAATTTTTATAACATTAGAAAAACTGTTTAAAGTTCAAAAATAAAATTTATGTTCTTTTTTAAACTATAAGTATCACCACCAAAGTATTTTTCAAAGGTTCATTTGTTTTTTGCTACACGTAAATACACAGTAAAAATCCCTTCCAGCTGAAATAGACATTTCTTTTTTTCAAAAAAAGTCACATTGGGCAGCTAGATGGTGCAGTGGATAGAGCACCAGCCCTGAAGTCAGGAAGACCTGAGTTCAAATTCGGCCTCAGATCAAACACTTGGCACTCACTAGCTGTGTGACCCTGGGCAAGTGACTTAACCCCAATTGCCTAAAAAAATTTTTTTTTTAATTTTAAAAGTCATATTTATTTATTCGCTTCCATATCAACTAAACTACCAAGAAGAAAACAGGTTTCCAATTTCTCCTCTACTCCGATATCTTCAAAATTAGCACACCAGCATCCTTTAGTTTCCAAAGGTGTTTGTGCCTCATATACCCAGGGAAATAAAAAAGATTTTAACCCGAGGAGGAAAAGTTTAAAAGTTACTATAGATCAGTTAGGCCTGGGTCTATATGCCAATGCCTCTCATTACAGAGAATTAGATTTTGAACTTTCTTTGTTCCTTGCATTTGCCAATTGATCCTTAGTCTTTAGTATTCCTTAGTCAGGCAATGCCAGTCTTCTCTGGAATGATACCATTCCTATATCTTCCAGTGCTTCAAATCAGGGCCTCCTCATAGGCAGAGACCCATCTCTAACTTACAGCATTAAACTCAAAAGATGCACCTTTCTGTCAGGTATGACCCTAGCAGTCCTTAATCTTCCCAGTCCCCAAACAGTTATTTTATTTATACCTTCCAAATTATAAACTTTAACACTCTGAAGACAATTAAATGAAAGTGAGCTGGTGGTTCATAACGCTCTACAGGCACCATAATACTAAGTAACTGCTCTGCCTTTAAACACTTTTTAGTGCATCTTGATGATGGGGTGGTTCACTGGCCATATAGGAAAAACTACTATATCCCTAACTCTCACCTCCCATTCCCTCATCTCCATCCTCTTCAACTCCACCCCATCCAGGTCTTACTCCAACCCTGACCAACCCTGCCCAGAAGCCCTGTTCCATAGTGAAGAACCTTCCCATCATCCCAGACTTCCTTTTCTCACACTCTTTCCATCTACTTGCCCTCACTGAGAACTGGCTTTTCTCTGACAACACTGAATCCCTGGCTATTTTCTCCAATACCTTCTCTCAAACTCCCCAACATACTGGTCCTGGAAGGGTAGTTGAATACTCTTTGCTTCCAGATTCTCTTGTTCCCTCTATCACTCAGTAACCTTGCTTCATTTCAAGTACACTTAATCAAAATTTTCCACCCGATCCAAACTATGGAGGCTGTAGCATAACAACTCTCATATGTTGTCAAATCTTGTCATTTCCACCTTTACAACATCTCACATATGCATCTCTTTTTCTCCACTTGAATAATCACCACAGTAGTATGGGCCCTCAGCACCTTTATTTGGACTATTACAATAACTTTTTTTTCCCCAATCCTTTCATTTTTATTTTTTATGTCTTTTTTATCATTAATTTAGTTTTAGTTTTCAACATTCACCTCCACAATATTTTGAGTTCCAAATTTTCTCCCTATCTCTCCCCTTCTCCCACCCTAAGACGGCATGCATTCTGAATACCCCTTCCTCTAACCTGCCCTCCCTTCTATCACCCCCCTTCTCTTATCCCCTTCCCCTTCTATTATTCTGTAGGACAGGATAGATTTTCATACCCCTTTGCCTGTATATCTTATTTCCCAGTTGCATGTAAAAACAATTTTTAACATTCATTTTTAAAACTTTGAGTTCCAAATTCTCTCCCTTCCTCCCTCCCCACCCACCCTCATTGAGAAGGCAAGCAATTTGATATAGGTTATACATATGTAGTCATGCAAAACACTTCCATAATACTCATGTTGCGAAAGACTATATTTCCCTCCATCCTATCTTGCCCCCCATTTTTTTCTGTTCTCTCCCTTGACCCTATTCTTCCCCAAAAGTGTTTGCTTCTGATTGCTCCCTCCCTCAATCTGCCCTCCTTCTATCATTCCCCCCCCTTTCTTATTCCCTTCCCTCCTATTATCCTGTAGGGTAAGATAGATTTCCACACCCAATTGAGCGTGAATGTTATTCCCTCCAAAAGCCAAATCCAATGAGAGCAAAATTCACTCATTCCCTCTCACCTCCTCCCTCTTCCCCTCCACTGTAAAAGCTTTTTCTTGTCTCTTTTATGTGAGATAATTTACCTCATTCTACCTCTCCCTTTCTCCTTCTCCCAGTATAATCCTCTCTCACCCCTTATTTTACTTTTTAGATATCATCCCTTCATATTCAACTCACCCTGCACCCTCAACTACCTTAATACTAAGAAAGGTCTCATGAGTTACAAATATCATCTTTCCATGTAGGAATGTAAACAGTTCAACTTTAATAAGTCCCTTATGATTATTCTTTCCTGTTTACCTTTTCATGTTTCTCTTGAGTCTTACATTTGAAAGTCAAATTTTCTGTTCAGTTCTGGTCTTTTCATCAAGAATGATTGAAAGTCCTCTATTTCATTAAATATCCATTTTTCCCCTTAGAGATTATACTCAGTTTTTCTTGGTAGGTGAATCTTGGTTTTAATCCTAGCTCTTTTGACCTCCCAAATATCATATTCCAAGCCCTCCAATCCCTTAATGTAGAAGCTGCTGAATCTTGTGTTATCCTCATTGTGTTTCCATAGTACTCGAATTGTTTCCTTCTGGCAGCTTGTGATATTTTCTCCTTGACCTGGGAACTCTGAAATTTGGCTATAATATTCCTAGGAGATTTCCTTTTGGGATCTGTTCCAGAAGGTGATTGGTGGATTCTTTCCATTTCTATTTTACTCTCTGGTTCTAGAATATCAGGGCAGTTTTCCTTGATAATTTCTTGAAAGATGATGTCTAGGCTTTTTTTTTTATCATGGTTTTCAGGCAGTCCAATAATTTTTAAATTAACTCTCCTGGATCTATTTTCTAGGTCAATTGTTTTTCCAATGAGATATTTCACATTGTCTTCTATTTTTTCATTCTTTTGGTTTTGTTTTATAATTTCTTGATTTGTCATAGAGTCATTAGCTTTTATTTGCTCCGTCCTAATTTTTAAGGAATTATTTTCTTCAGTGAGCTTTTGAACCTCCTTTTCCATTTGCCAGTTCTGCTTTATAAAGCATTCTTTTCTTCATTGACTTTTTGGACCTCTTTTGCCATTTGGGTTAGGGTATTTTTTAAGGTGTTATTTTCTTCAGTATTTTTGGGGGTCTCCGTTAGCAAGCTGTTGACTCGCTTTTCATGATTTTCTTGCATCACTCTCATTTCTCTTCCCAATTTTTCATCTACTTCTCTTACTTGCTTTTCAAAATCCTTTCGAGCTCTTTTATGGCTTGAGACCAATTCATTTTTTTGGGGGGGTAAGGCAATTGGGGTTAAGTGACTTGCCCAGAGTCACACAGTTAGTGAGTGTTTTGCATCTGAGGCCGGATTTGAACTCAGGTCCTCCTAACTCCAGGACCAGTGTGCTATCCACTGTGCTACCCAGCTGCCCCAACCATTTCATATTTTTCTTGGAGGCTTTAGATGTAGAAGTTTTGGCTTTGTTTTCTTCTGGTTTGTATGTTTTGATTTTCTTTGTCACCAAAGTAAGATTTTATAGTCTGAGTTTTTTTCCACTGTTTGTTCATGCTCCCAGCCAATTACTTGACTTTTTAACTCTTTGTTAAGGTAGAGCTCTGCTTCCAGTGTGAAGGGCACACTGTCCCAAGCTTCAGGGGTTTTGTGCAGCTGTTTTCAGAGATACTTCTAGGGACCTATAAATTTTCAGTTCTTCCAAGGTGTTATAATCAAAGGAGAGGTGTTTA